TCGTTTCAAGTGGCGTAAGACGAAAACACGAAATACGACAGTCAACAATTTGTCGTATTCTCGCTCCGCGTGGCGCCAAACGAAGACACTAAATGATAAAGTGACGTGGCTGATATGCATAAATTTTCGCGGACCGAAAATACGGCATATTAATGTATTTTTCATACATATGATATCATATCAGTGAAAGAAAAAAATCCAAAAAAACTACATACTGTATGTCACAAATGTAAGACAGGAGTAAAAAATAACGAAAAAGTTTTGAATATAAACGATAATAAAGTGTTTCATGGTTTAACTGAGTGATGTGAAGTAGGAATAGCTGCAGGAACTGATAATGGTTTTGACAGTAATCTTATGCAACAACATTGTTAGAACCACCAAATATGTATCTAGCAATTCTTGTGTTTGATGATAGGCTATAAATAGACTTAATTAAAGCCTGATTTTAGATTTTATCCTTAACATTTTCCAATAGAAACAGTTGGTCAAACATCATTTAAATAGTCAATCTTTTGAAATATAAAGTCAATCCAGCTCAACTTGACTATGAAAATATGAGTATAATGTCACTTTAATCGTCGCCAGTATTTTTGACCATAATTATTGATATAAAACCAAAACGATGAAAGATGATGACTTACTTTAAACTTGCTGACAGTCATATTATCATATCAACTGATGAAGCTTATAAAAGCGAAACATGTTTTGATAAATTATGTTGGCTTTTGATCTTTTAATCCTATGAAGTTCTTAAAAATACTTTTTCAGCTTCCAATGAACTGTTCATTTACAATTCACAGATAAAGGATAAAACGTTTGAAGTTTATCAGGCAAGAGTAAGGATATGAAAGCTTGTCTCGATTGTAAAGGTTAATCACATTTTCGGTTCTAGCAAAGTAAGAGTTACAATTTTGCCAACATTTTAAAACGGCTGAACACGTTTTAAGCAAATACGTAAAGTGATTTGGATGTGCATGCATCTGTTCTAGGCTTATTAGTAATTTAGTCATACTATAATCTGGCAAAAGATATTATATCCTTAAGAAGGTATTCATTTAAGTATATGCGTTCAAATGTAATTATTTACCAATAAACTTCAGCTAAATTATTAAGTCATAGCTCAATGAATGTACCTCACACACTTTCCTATTGCTACCAAACTAATTAACCCTTAGCCTGGTTCATCCGGTCCTAATTTGCACTTTTTGCTTTTCATTCAGCTCGTATTTTAAAAACTTATTCCCAAAAACGATGAATATATTGTTCAGATTGACAGACGGACGTACAAATCTATTAACAATATTTAGCGTAGTACGGACAAAGCTTAGAAACACTATTACTGTACACAATGATATCTGATGTACTGAAACTAGTTCACACATTTCTATCTTCTCTGGTGTCTAAATTTGTGTGTTCTTTGTCATATATGTAGAGATTGCATTTTGTAAAAGGAATTTCATGTTTTAACACACGATTGTCTAGACGGGAGGTTAAAAGACAACAAAGCTCATTATCAAAGATGTTTATCTTGAAATTGATCACGTTCAAGTTTCTACCAGTAAGTGAACATGCTGTTTACAGATACAACGTCAAGAAACAAAAGGCTAGATTTGTTAAAACCACGACACTGATATTGAAATGTATGGAGATGGGTTCTCTCCAGCTGCGCAGCTGCGAGATTTATACATACCACCGGTTGTGGTTGTCATACAAAAGTAAAAATACTTCTTTGTACATATAAGCAATGTTTCAAAAAGTCGATGCCGGTATGGAAACGTATGGAGCTTGATTATCTAGCTGCGCAGCTGCGAGATTTATGCATATCACCGGTTGTCACACAAAAGTAAAAAAACTTATTGTGTACATACATGTATGAGCAGTGTTTCAGAAAGACGACGCCGATATGGAAATGTATGGTGCAACTGCGATAACTGGAACGACTCAATACAGGAGATGACGTATATCCACGGATATGACCGAAAATACTGGTTATGGGCGAGCATATACAAACAAAAAGATACGGCTCCGGTAATTATGATTAAAATAGATATTCATGCACATCATTTTTAAAGCTGAGCAATAAGTAATAGAAAGAACATCGAAACACAAGGCAATGTGATATGTACGAGGGGCGTAGCACCCGAGTGTTAATCAAATTGCCGATTGTTTTGATGCTCCTTCTCTTTTGTATTTTAGTCAAACATAAAAACACGTTTCCTATTGTCACAATATGGAACCCCAGAAAAAGGTACCTGATGAACAAGCATCTGAATATGATATTTCTATCGCTTTCCCTTTCTCTGCCGCACAATAAGTAAACCCAAGCAAAATGTGTCAATCAATGGGCATGCTCTGGAGTGCGGGTAACCAATACAGTAGTTATTACTACAAAGTAGTATTTTAATACTCATTCACTATGAGTATGCACATTTTCAACAGTGAAAAAGAAGGAAGACATAGTTTATCTATGTAGTAAATGATTATAGTTTTAAACAAAACAAGATACCAAAAGAAGAGAAAGATTTTTAGTAAATAAAAAAAGCATTTCCGAGGCATAATAGATTGTAGTTGTCTTTATTAAAGTCAAATTTACATTGTGTGAGCCAATTTCGGACTACATTCAAGACATTGGGTAACCAGTAATTTTCTTTTCGTGCACACATTTTATTTTCTACATGCACGAGAGAACTGGCGCCAATGATTTTAATAGCGATTTTTCCATAATGTGTAAAAAGTAGAAAATGTAAATTTGGTTCTGTAGCTGTCTACTTTTTTTTTGGTCAGGTATGTTTTTATTGACTGAATTTTTTCAGAAGGCCAATGTAAAGAAATTTGCATTCTGATTATATAAGTCCATTTTAATTAACAAATTATATCACATTAAAGGAACTTCGCTGAGGTCCAAAATCCTAAACAGACATAAAATTTAAATGTCTTACATAGATCAGGCGGGGCACTTAAATCAAATAGATATGCATAATATAGTTAAGAAATATACTCTGAAATATGAAATGAAAATAACCGTATTTGTATGCTATTCTTAGCCTAATTAGAGTGAAATGCGTTGCAAAGCTTTTCAATTTCAGGTCATATTTCACAGTCTGGAAAAAAACGGAATGAGCGAATTGTATGTATATTTGCAAAATTGTTATTGGTCTAGACATACAACACATGAAACATTTTTTCTCGAAAAATTATTTCCAGTCCCGCCAGTCAAAAAAAGCACCTCACTAAAAATACCTTTAATAAATCATAAATCAAGAAACAGAGTGAACATAAGCATGTTTCATAACAAATGAAGGAAATTCCAAGAAACACCCCGAATACAAATAGGTTAATATCATGCAGTCTTCTTTATTTCACATTACGATCTATCACGTTTTGTTTCCTCATAAACCGTGTTGATTGATGATTAAAAATATTATGTGAAGGATCTAAAACAGAACACATCGTCATATTGTTTCATTACGGGGACATATTTTTATGTTCTAATGATAATAAACATCCCTCTTATCCTCCTGCAAAATTGATTATTTCACCATAAAAGAAATTCTGCCTAAATCCATAAATTAATTGGGCATGGAAATTTCTGTTTAGGACTAATTTCATAACAAATTGGAAAAGAAAAACATCCCTTGAGAAAATTTTGTGACAATTTTCTTGATGATGAACTAATATCACGAAGAACATTCATTATTTGGATTTTTTTAATGAAAAAAAAAAAACCTTTTCTTTTCTCGGATTCGAACGACAATTCTAATTGGACGTTTCTATGCCACACAAATATACCATTTGTTTTGTCTTGATGGCAAGTTTATTCGTTTCTGTTAGGATACTACGTCATCGCGCACCTGCAAAATACTCCCATTCGGATTTTTTTTATAAAAATCCCGTCGACTCAAAGATACATAAAAAATTCTAATAAATCGTTAGCCTGTAAAAAATAATAATGTAGCCCACTAATTATTGTTCTTAGTACTTAATATTATTGTACAAAACGTTTAAAGTTCCACTGTTTGGTTTAAGCCTGGAAACGGGATACATTTTGCTTGGGAGTCCGGATGGGAGCATTTGGGAAAGAACGCTTCATTCCGTTTTCAGGATTGGGAGCATTTTGCAGGTGCGCAATGACGTAGTATCCTAGTACCAATGCATATAAGTATTCCAGTAACAATGTGAAGCAAAGCATTTATTTATATAATTTGGGAATTACAAACGACGAATTAAACATGCACCAGTTATAATCTATGTTTCTTGTCTTCAAATGCGGCAAGAAATGTTCCATAATCTCATGGTCGGTTCTTGTAAGAGATGGTACATAGAATGTCTCTGTTATTTAACACACGTGCATATTGCACGAAAACAGAATAATATGTTCCAGAACAGATACTATTCTACCATTTTAAGTAAGATTTTTATACATTTAGCAATGATTTCGTGCTTGCGATATTCGCTTTTATAACAATTTATAACCATATTTATCCGATTTAAGCATTTTGGAAGTATTCTGTTTGTAAAATTCAGACAATAATGTTTGGAATAAATATATAGCCTTTTATATTCGATGCCTGTGTTGATATTGTGATTAAAATTAACACCTAGAACGAAAGAAATTTACTACTATATTTTATTGAAATCCAGTGGGGGGGGGGGGGGGGGGTCCGTGAAATCAGCGTTGTTTTGATGTACAATATTTATTTATAGTTAATAACATAGACATTCTATGTTACGATATTTTCAAGAAACGGCCATTTGGGTATGTACACAATATAATTTAACTGTTTTCAAATTATTTTTCATGAAATATTTAATTAGATATAGCTTCACGTAGTTTAACAAATCTTATTATACTTTCATATTATTATAATGAATGTATTGATAACACCTAATTCATTTTGAGTGACAGGCCAGGATATCAAACTTAATTGTTAATTGTTTGATAAGCAAGTATCAACATTTACTTTAAAAAAAAGAACATCTGGAAAATTAATTCTTACCTGTCGGGCGCAAGGAGCAACGCTGTAGTCACAGCACGGTCCAAACAGCACATGCATTTCTTTATTGACATAGAAATTTATACACTCATTAATTCCACCGGCAATGTCACATTTGCTGTCTCGAAATCGGACGGAAAGATACCTATTGTGGTGGGCAATTAGAGGATTCATCTTGTCAATTGCGATTTCAATAGCTGGTCGGACTCTTTTAATACTAAACGGATGAGAATCGTCTTCAGGCAATAGCGTTGCAATTTTAATCTCTTTCATACCAGTTATGCTTTTTACCGACGTATAACTATCACTAGCACCTGCCTCGCGGCGATACAGATGATGGCTATCGTCCGTGGACATATTTTGAGTTTTACTATTAAGAAAATCGGAAGACTCCGGGCTTTTACGCCTAGTATGATCCGCTTCTGGTTTTGTTAAAGGCAATTTGTCATTATCGTAAATGAGATTCAAATAATTTGAAAACTCATCCATTTCCGTGGTAAATTTGTTTCCAAATTGTTTCGGCTTAAAATAAGAATTTGTATGGATTTGCGACTTCTTCTCATTTGTCTTAAAATAAGTGTTGACTTGTAATTTACGAGATAAATTTTGTCCTGATATGCGCCCCTTGTTTGTTAGATAATTAGCAGCATGAGTTGCGTAATAATGTTTTTCTTTCCAACTATTAACAAGTTTCTTGGTCGTTTCCGTTTTCCTGTCGATCTTAAGTCCTCTATTATTTCGAATGATTGATACGCCTGGAGCCAGGTTATTATTTCGCGAAATGTCTCGTGCCAAATTATTGTCATTTGAAATTTTCTTGTTCAGCCCATAGAGACGTGATTGATCGTTTGAATTCTTCGAGGAATCATGGTTAATATTGTCTGGACACGAAAGTGCGGCGCCTAAAGCCCCAGCAACAACTGCTAAGATTAATATGTTGTGGTAGCCAAGGGATTTCATCTTTGGCATGGAAACATCACCCTTACTTTATTTTCTTCTCGTCTTCCCACTAAACTCGTTTTCATGACATCTTGATCAAATTGACATTAACTATTGTCGTCGCTTTTGAACTGAAATACAATAAAATACATACAAGTTATCATACCAGAGAAACTAATAGGTATATAATGTTTGTATGATTGTAACAAGAATGTAACAGCTTATATAAGATATGAAGTCGATTGTGATGATAGTTTCATTCCTGTGACTTTTTATTATACATTAGAGATGTAATCATTTCCCAACAATATGTCATTGAAAGCCCACTTTGCCTCCGAAATACTATCATATTTATTTCTAAAAAAACAACTTTTATTAGTTTCCTGTTGCAGTTTCAAACGAAAAACTCATTTGCCATATAGATGAACTGCTTTCGCTTCTTTAGCTATGTTGGCAGTAAGTATATTTATAGTGAATTGGTATTTTGTATGGAAGTCAAACTATTACATTTTGCTACCTTTATGACACATAACCGCGCACTCAGCGCAACTTCACTTCAGTTGTTAAACATCTACAATGTTCTGAATCAATTATTAAAACATTATTTAACACATGTTTGACAGTTAGGAAGAAGCTAATAAATATGAATTTTAAATTTAAATATAAATTGTAAGCATTTTCTTTTTATATTTTCGTAGGTTAATATGCAATACATATGGTAGAAGGATATTCTAGATATGAGGTGTCTAATGTCACGGAATAGATATGTATAGGTGCCCGCTGCATTCTGAGAAGGAACATATCTCTTAACAATAACTTTATTTGGGAGTAATAAATTCAACTTTTTTTAGTTTAGTTTACATTAGTTTATACAAGTTTATTTAAGTTCGATTGTGTTGGAAACTGTAAGATTATTGAAACATACTCCAATCTGTTTCTGGAACCAACCAGTACTGAACAATGACTGTAAAGTTTCTTGCTTAAGTAAATAACGGCTTGTCCCTGACAGGGTTCGAACCCACGCAGTCAGCAATCCTTAGTTTGCTTGTCGGGCGCGTTTAATCAGGGAATCTAAATTTGTTCATACAATCATCTATATATATATAATATATGTATATGTTTCCATATATTTAACACATTTTGAAATATGAAAAAATGAATATATGAGATATTTCAAGTTCAGATATGTGATGCAGATCCAACTCAAGGTTCCTTTAAGCTGTCATAGAACATAATATTTCAATTTGTCAAGACAAAGTGACAAGTTAGAAATTCTCAAAGAGTAAATTGCCTCCTCAAACTAGAACTAAAAAGAACAGAAACGCAACAACTATGTTCAAAACTAGAAATATACATGTTTAACAATATAACTATACCTCAAGTTGGCATTTGCTTACACAAAAAAATCACAGGGGGTCACGGTTTTTGAAATTTTATAAAAGCAACTTGTACAACAATATTGTTAATTATTGAAAGAAATTAAAGGAAAAACATAAATGATATCACATGTGTTGTGTGGCATATAAAATCATTGGATTGTCCGTGACTGCTTTTTTCCAATACATCACAGTAGTGTCTTACTTTAAAATGGTTCTTAAAACATGCTACCATATTATATTGTATAGGATTTGTTATTAGTGTATCCATACGAGATACATAGATAAACTTTAACACTTCATTTCGCCATATAATAGAACATGGCTTAAAATTGTTTCTTATACAGTTAAGCTGATGGACAGCTTGGCCAGTTTGGCGAGACAACTAAATGCATTTATTGCGTAGTAATTTGATATAGCTTCGTGCTAAATAGAAACTGTCTTCGCAAACAAGTGATGTGTCAATTACGTGAACCAAAAATAAATTCGGGATGGTCGCAGGACAATTTTCTACTAAATTTTCCCTCGAAAATATGAAAGATTATCACACAACTTTCTTAATATTTCAAGATATTTTGGCAATTTCTTTGAAGAATAGCAAAACAGGAAATAATATTAATGTCAAAAGTTAATATATTGTAAATAACGCTGTTTAAGATGAGCGATCATTCCAGTAGACTTAATTGTTTCAAGTCTGAGGAATATTTTATCTAATGCAAATTAAAAAATCAGTCTGATCATATATCATCATTGATCAGTTAACATTGTTGTATCTATAAAATCATTGGAATTGGTTTGCACTAGAGTGGTGAAATACAATTCTTTTTATGCTTGTTAAATGGCTGTATTTTGTATAAAAGTTGTAAGCGGTCTGTAGCTTTTCTAAAGGTTAAATATGTTATTTTCAGACGAATCGTTTCCCATAATTGTCAATTAAAAGTCTGAATGTGAAAAATGAAAGTTGGGGACGATAAACTACATACACAATAAGGAAACATTTCGGTTCCTCTAATCAACCGGTTCCCTCTCTATATTCAAATTAGTAAAGCCCCGATTTTTTAATTTTAGAAACGCACGTCATTGTGTAACTCCCTGAACGAATACTAAACAATGATTTGATTCACTGTTTCCAAGCAAAATTAATGAAATACAAATGTATTTAGTTTGAAACAACACAGAACTGTGTTTTTCCAACAGAAAATAAAAGTTGAATGTCGCTTTAAGCTATTTGATGTTTTTGACTGTTCGTTGTGGTGATGTTTGCATATAGAAGGCCAATTAAGCCTCAAATTGCTTACAATTTAATAAAAGATACACATTGCCCATGTAATAGACCCATTTTTTCCGAGGGATCACTTTTTTCCCAGATATTTTGCTTATTTTGTATTTTGAGGCAATAAGCAGTGATTTAAGATGTAAAAAAATATCAGTCAGTTTACAAAAGTTAACACAAAGCGAGTTTTGCTATTTCCTTGCAGGTGATAAGCATCTTCTATGTGCTTAGCCAAATATAGTAACATTACAACCATATTTTTGTGTCTTATACAGAACAATATTTATACTTTTCTGAGGCATAATGTGCCTTTAAAGTCAATTTGTTATTTGATCATTACTTCTGCCGTGACGTTCCTAAAGCCAGACTGTCTATATGATAGACAAAAAGCTTTGGCAATGATATATGTATTAGATTACTATGTTAAAATCACTTGAAAATCAGACAGTTCGATTAGATTTACGTCATTTCTATTCAATATTCTTACCCTAAGTAGGTATATATATATATATGAAAAAAATATAATTGGTAATGTTTTCACAGTACAATTTTTATTTCTTTATATGAAATTTTGCATTACACCAAGCCTAAATTCATACAAAATAGTGTGTAAGTTTAAATATTGGATAGAAAATAAATTATTCAATGTTTATATATTTGTCAAATACGCATTTTTAAATATAGATGCATGCACCATTTCTTATGTATGTTTGACTGAAGTAAGAAATTGTTCAAATTAAATATAATAATTAACATTCCATACAAATTACACAAATTTAGTTTAGTTTGAATGTGTAAGAACCTGTAAGCTTATTGACACACTCTCTTATCCGTTCCTGGAACCAACCAGTACTAAGCAATGAATTTAACCTTGCTCAAGAAAACAACGGCTTGCCCCGAACTGTGTCCGAACACACCCGGTCAGAAATTCTTAGATTACTTGTCCGACGTGTTAACTACTCGGTCACGCCGCCACTAAGATATTAAATCGACATAATGTTGAAATGCCAATATGTTGAACTGCCAAGGTGTTGAAATGTCAAGGTGTTGAAATACCAAGATGTTGAACTGCCAAGGTGTTGAAATGTCAAGGTGCTGAAATACCAAGATATTGAAATACTAAAATGTCGAAATGCCAAGGTGTTGAAATGTCAAGGTATTGAAATGCCATGGTGTTGAAATACCCAACGCTCCACCTTATCTCATAATAACTTTTATTCTTTATTCCGTATTCTAATCACATTAATCAGCTTGCCGTCTTGTTCGAAAGTATCATTTTAAAAGCTGATTTCTGTAGCATTAAGACAAATGGTATAACACAGCCGCCAGGGAATTTCATCTGTAACTTAATAAAATTCCTCTCGAGTAAATTGACTGAAAAGTCTATGTTATTATTTTCAAAGGCATTTAAAACGTGCTGTCTTATTTTTCAGTGTGACAAAGAATCTAAACAAGGTAGAGAATGGAACATTGTCTTATTATAAAATGAAAGAAGACATTTGACTGCAAGATCGTACCATTTTCTACTGAGAGTATTTAAACGACTGCGGCATGTTATTTAAGTATTATTTATTTGTTTATTTATTTATTTATTTATTTATTAATAATTGATTTTTTGTCTGTTTTTGTATCTTGGTTTTGTAAAAAAAAATAACTGAAGAGAAACTTATATAAGTTTTGTTTTTACTTGTCTTCAATTCAGTCTTTCTTTGTTGAAAAACGTAAATGTTGCATAAAAAATTATCAGTAGTATTTATGCTTATTGATTTAGTGAATAATTTTATCAAGCGATAATGCTGTGAGTGAAAGGGACTCTACTGAGGTTTTTATGACATGACGGGCTGGAATGTGTTTTTCCGAAAATTCTATTTGATGTAAGTATAGACCATTACCGTTTGTGCAAAATTTCAGATTAGTCGCTTAATCCCTTTTTACAAAACGATTATTTTTATTGTGAACAGTGATCAAAATTGGAAAGCGTTGCAAAGTTTTTCACTTAAGTCGGACTAAAAATAGAACAAAAAATACAATTTTCAATTTATTCTGTGTATATTTCTTAAATATCTTTTGCATTGTTAGATTTAAAGCTTTCGATATTTTATTTTTGTCCACCGTTGATTGACATTATTGTCAGTTTCATTTTTCATGCATTCCCATTATTACAAATAAGGCAAAGAGCTTTTTTTTTATAAAGAAACATAAAAGCATCATATTTTTATCATCAATAAGAACATAAAATCATAAAGATATCTTATTATCTAAGACTTAGAATATGTTTAGTTCAATATACTTATTCATTTTTATTTCGATTGTGTTAAAAGCTGTTAGTTATATAGTATATTGAAATACTGACGAATCTGTTCCCGGAGGCAACCAGTACTAAGCAATGTGTGTAAATTTTCTTGCTAACGGACACAACTGCTTGCCTCTGACGGGTTTTGTACCCACGCGGTCACCAATCCTTGGATTATCAGTCCGACGCGTTAACCACT